TGAGGTCTCCCCCCAGACTCCTCCAAGCTAAACAACCCCAGTTCCCTCAGCTGCTCCTCAGAAGACTTGTGCTCCAGACCCCTCACCAGCTTCATTGCCCTTCTCTGGACACGCTCCACCTCAATGTCTTTCTTGTAGTGAGGGGCCCAAAACTGAACACAGTATTTGAGGTGTGGGTTCACCAGTGCTGAGTACAGGGGCATGATCACTTCCCTAGTCCTGCTGGCCACACTATTCCTGATACAGGCCAGGATGGTAGTGGCCACCTGGGCACACTGCTGGCTCATGTTCAACGGCTGTCTACCAACACTCCCAGGTCCTTTTCTGCCTGGCAGCTTTCCAGCCACTCTTCCCCAAGCCTGTGGCATTGCATGGGGCTGGTGTGACCCAAGTGCAGGACCTGAAGCTAGCTTTCTGTAGAAAATGAGGGAAAAAGCAACCGAGCCCCAGCTGACAGGGTGTTGCACATAAGCCTGCGCTACGTGAAGCACATGAGGTGACTCTGCCACCTCTTGAGGAGTGTCTTGCTCTGAGGACACAGAGCAGGGACACAGCAGCAGCTTTGTGCTGTAAGGCCGGGATGGTTTGTCCTGCTGTGGTTCACATAGGTGGTCCTCAGGAGCACCAGTTCCCTAACAGCAGGCTTGCCCTGTCACTCTTGAGCACGCAAGCTATCATTTGGCAACACACATTAAAACATCAATCTGGTTTTGAAGGGTTTTTAAACCCAGTAAGTCCTTACAGCAAAATGTGACCAAAACTCCCGTCCTGTGAAATCATGGGCTGTGGGGTCTCTGCAGCACTACCTGCGGTAAGGGCTGCTTAGTTCTGGGGCGTAGCATGCAGCAAATCAGTAAATTAGCTTAGCGTGACTCCAGCGCGACACAAGCAAATAAATCAAGTAATGGGGAGCAGCACTGGCCAGCACGTTGCAAAGACATCTAAATGATTCCTTGTGCAGCCAGCACAGGTCTGGCAGACCCAGTGCTGAGCTAGAGCTAATAAAACCTGGCAAACCCAAGCTGTGCCTGCATCTGTGGTGCAATTAATCTGTGACACGAACAATCTGCCTGCAGAGAACTGTAAGCTGACTATATGAACAAATTTAACAACTCACATTAATTAATACTTACAGCTAGAGTGAGAAAAAAAATCACTAATATTTGGCAACAAATAGCAAATATCATTACAACTCACAAGCGTGAAGTTCATGCATCAATAATTATGAGACAGATAGCAAAGTCGTGATACTTTACATGTGCGTTTTGATTTTGTAATTTAATTTTGATCTCCCTATTATTATCATCTCGCATGATAGACAATTAACATAAATTACGTTACCATAGCACACAGAAGTCCCACTCACAGGCACTATTGCCTTCAGTGATACACAAATAGAGAACAAAAGGTAACACCGCAAAGTGTTAACACAGACAAAAAATGATAGAGTATGAAGAGATGACGAGAATGGTCAACATGCCAAGAAGTGATCTTTGCATACTAGCGGCTTAGCTGCTGTCAGTTTTTATAGGCATCACAGTAAACCAGCCCATTAGGGAGGGGGGGCTTGGCATGACAGTAATGAGAGTGGTTTTTATTTAGAAATTAATTATAATTTCTGTACCATATTACTAGTGTTCCTCCCGCCCGTGGCAGTTCAAACCAAGAACAATTGTGTCAGGACAACAACAATTTCTGCTTCTCCTGTTGCTCTGAAGTCTGCGATCCACATGGGGTAGCTTCAGCTGTCTTTCTTCCTAAATCCTAATGTTAGGTAGGATAAGTGACCGAAGAGGGGGACACACGTGCTACCTGCGGCAAAAGACAAAGCATTACAGACCATGGCATCTAGGCAATTTCTAGTCTCCTCTCTTCTGAGAAAAGCAGCATCTTCTGACACAAAAAGGCAGAAATTTCAAACAGTCTCCTATAATCATACCAAGCAGCTGCTCAACCCCAGGTGTTAGGAAAATGTAGAAGGTAGTAGAGGTTTATCCATGTGCCTGATATTTATAGTTGGTGCCCTTTTAAGACTGTCTCTAGCCTTTCCTGAAATCTTGCAACTTGCAAACAAGTCATGAGCCCTGGCGGTGTTTTGGGTACGTTAGCTGTCAAGGCCCAGGGCGCAGCCCCCTTCTCGGAGCGCTGTTGGCTGTGTTAAGAGTTCAGCTGGCTGAGTCCAAGGTCAGCTGCTCTGCTGATAAGACCTGTTGTGAAGGAAGCTAGAAGCAAGGACCTCCCTCTCCTCTCCCTTGGGAACTGCCTTTAAGCTGAGGCTGTACCGCTGGCCCTTGCCTGTGCTACATCACAGCTGGGCAGCAGCAACATCTACACCTGGTGTCCTGCCTCCTCCATCCTGATGCTGATCATGACTCGGACCTGCTGGCTGGGCTTTCTGGCTTGGTCTTGGACCTGCCTCATCACTACGGACTTGCTGTGCGATCACTGGACTAAGTCTGACCCTGATTACTGTCTCTGGCCCTGATAATGAACCAAATGTACTGCTCTACATCCTGCTTCTTCTTGGTGAGGTCTCTGCTCCCACCTGCCTTGGTATCGTGCTCCACCCATGGCTCACCTTTGCTTGCAGAGCAACCGGCCCTCGCTGTCCCCTGACTGCCACACTAAACCTATTACCACACTGCCATGCTTAAAAACTTAATCACACAGAGCTGTTGACGTGCAGAACAACTGTGCTGACTGTCCACAGAAAAAGAAGCATAAGCCACGTAAGGTAGCAGAGACACAAGGATTCATTTCTCACAGCTCAGCGGCTTTATCACAGCCATACAGCTGCTCTGCACACCTTTGTTTCACATTAAATGAATTCCTGCACTTCAAGGTTGTGTAAAGATTTGTGAAGCCAGCGTGGTCAGCCATCAGGCCAGCTCTGACTTGGGGGAAGTCTTCGCAGAATGCAGAACCAGGATGAAATTTCTTTCCTTGCATGGGGTTCGTTAGGACTGCTGTGGCTCTTAAGCTATTCTTGGCTGCTGGACTGGCTCTGGAGGCTGTAGAGCGCCAAGCATGCAGATAGTCAACAGGCATATATTATGATTATTACTGAGCTGCATGAGCTAGAATCCTGTTGAGTTAGGTTCAATATACATTGTGTATAAATGGAATACAGATGCACAGACATCTAAATATAAGACAGGAGATGACAGACACACACAGATGGAGGAGAACCATTTTGGGTAGTATGATAGACAGTGGTCTCAGTACACCAGGAATCTTACCATCATCGAATTTCACCACAACAAGAGATAATCACTAGGGAGGGTTTGAAGAAGAAAGATTATCTGCTTCTGTGGGTATTTAGGAGACCTGGGACAAAAGCAAAGGAAACAACGAAAGAGGACAATGAAAGAAAATAAGACACTTTTCTGAAAATTTAACAACTGGCTATAAAATATTGATGTATTCAGCTGATGAGAGACAGGACCCAATTGCTTGGTACACAAGACAGATGATGTCATGTGGGAAAGGGATAGGCTGTGAAAGCTTGCAGTTAATAAAAGACACTTGCCAAGACCAAAGAAAATAATGTTCTGAGAGTTAGGATGAAAGATGAAAACACAGAGAAGTGGTGTGGATAGATAGGGAGCACCACATAATATAGAGATGATGCAGAGAGAATCCTAAAGACTTAGAGTTAGACTTTAATAGGTGATTTATGTGATAATTTTAGCTGAACCTGTGCCTGCTTTGAAAAAAGGGATTGTCTTACCTGTTTTGTGATGGCTAGATGCCCAATGAGCAAACTGTTAATTTATATTTCATTTCTGATTTAAAAAATTAACTATTATTGGACTATTCCAAAATTACACAGTCTAGCAAGATTAAGCATTGAACAAGCGATGTGATGGAATGACTGAAAAAACAGCAGATATCTGTGGAAGAACCAAATTGGCTAATTCAGGCATGCATCCACTGGGACAAGATAACAGCAGTGAAGAATTTAGGAAGGGATGGACGTCAAGGTTATGTATGTGTTAACAGAGTGACAGGGGTGCCGTTTCCACCTTTCGCTGCTTATGCAAGTATTGGTTTTGTTGCATTGTTTCTCACTGTGGTCATCCATTGCTGATTCCATCACCCAGACTACCCAAACTGCACTTCCACTCCTCACCCAATCAGTCTCCTGTTTCCCAAGATCTCCCAAGAGAGAAAAGTCTTTCCTGCCTAGCTTATTGTCGTGGTTTGGGCCGGACTGGGCACTGAGACAAATGACAGATCCTCTCCCCCACCTCTCTCTCCAAGGAGAGGAGGGAGAGAGAGAAAGAGACTTAAGAGTTTAGAAGAAAACCTCAAACCAGGACACTTATTTTTCCAAAAGCATCTTCTTGGCCTTGCCTGCTTCCTTAACTCAAAGATTCCCCCTCAATTGCCCCAAGCACTTATAACATCTGATTGTTTCTTGCTGCCACCATGTCAGCATGGTTCCTAACTCCCCATGTATCTTCAGTTTCCTCTTACTCTCTTTCTGTTATTGGTGACTTCTCCAAATTTTCCAAAGATAATTTCTGAAATCTCAACCTCTTCTACATAGTACTGTAGGAAAAAACACAGTGACTCATTGTCTTATTGCACTGCAAAACTTCAAATGTCTGTCTTTAAGAATATGTAGTGTCTTCTGAGGTATTCAAAATATAAGAGCTGGTGTGATTGAATGTCTTAAGAAACAATAGGTGTTTTGATTGCATTTAGAAATGTTATAAGATGCCAGAGTACATTGTCCTAGAATGTACATTTGTTTTAGTTATATTCACAATTAGAAACAATAATCAAAATGCAAAAAGAGAGCACAAATAATTTGATAGGTTACTTTACAAGTGTTTTGTGGTAACTCTAATGGAAGTCTGTACTATTTAATGAGCTGTTTTCTTTTCCTGTTTTTTCCTTTGATCTTTACAGCTGTCACCAAAAGAATATTTTCAAGTACAGAAAGCAATATGCAACAGTGCTAACATCCTGATAACAATACACCAAGAACAAGAATGGAAGTAAATTTATTCAGCAATTCTACTATTGTAAACAGTTCATCCATCAACCATAAGCAGTTAGAAGGGCATAGCCTCTGGGAGGTCATTACTATTGCCACTGTAACAGCAATTGTAAGCTTAATAACCATAGTGGGAAATATTCTTGTAATGATATCCTTCAAGGTTAACAGCCAGCTCAAAACTGTCAACAATTATTACTTGCTCAGCCTCGCCTGTGCAGATCTCATCATTGGAATATTTTCTATGAACCTTTATACATCTTACATACTCATAGGCCATTGGTCTCTTGGAAGCCTTGCCTGCGACCTGTGGCTAGCCCTGGACTATGTAGCTAGCAACGCCTCAGTAATGAACCTCCTAGTCATCAGTTTTGACAGGTATTTTTCCATCACAAGGCCTTTAACTTACAGGGCCAAGCGCACACCCAAAAGAGCTGGTATCATGATTGGTCTGGCTTGGCTAATTTCCTTCATTTTGTGGGCACCCGTAATCTTGTGCTGGCAGTATTTTGTGGGCGAACGAACAGTACCACCTGAAGAGTGCCAGATACAGTTTTTATATGAGCCCATTATCACCTTTGGTACTGCAATTGCTGCTTTTTACATTCCAGTGTCCGTGATGACCATTCTGTATTGCCGCATCTATAAAGAGACGGAGAAACGTACCAAGGACCTTGCTGAACTTCAGGGTTCGGAGTCTGTGGCAGAGTTTGAGATGATAAAGCCTCAGAAGGCTTTCCTGAAGTCTTGCTTCGGTTGCAAGCAACAAAACACAGTCAAAAGAGAGAGGTGTCAGGCTTCCTGGTCTTCATCTAGCCGAAGTACGTCAGCTACGGTGAAAGCCTCTCAGGCAGCAAGTACCTGTAACGACTGGGCTAAGGCTGACCAGTTAACCACCTGCAGCAGCTACGCATCTTCAGAAGAGGAGGATAAACTTGCCACTGATTCTGTTTTCCAAGTAACTTACAAAAGTCCATCTAAAGGTAAGGCAGAAGAGTATAATGACAGTACGGATGTTGTTGTCGTCAAAGACCAGCCGGAAGAAAATGATTTTGAGAACCAGAAATACTTTTTGTCACCTGCCAAAGGCCACGTACAAAAAAGTAAAAAATGTGTAGCCTATAAATTCCGGTTGGTGGTTAAGGCTGATGGCAGCCAGGAAGCCAACAATGGTTGCCGTAAAGTAAAAATAACTCCTTGTTCTGCTGCTCTATCAAAGGATCCTTCCATCAAAAGCATGGATCCAAATATAAATAACCAAATCACCAAAAGGAAACGTATGGTTCTTATAAAGGAACGCAAAGCAGCACAGACTTTAAGTGCCATTCTTTTGGCTTTTATCATCACGTGGACTCCCTACAATATCATGGTTTTGATCTCCACATTCTGCTCTGACTGCATTCCCCTGACACTGTGGCACCTTGGATACTGGCTGTGCTATGTGAACAGCACTGTTAACCCCATTTGTTATGCCCTCTGTAACAAAACTTTCAGGAAAACTTTTAAGATGCTGCTTTTCTGCCAGTGGAAAAAGAAAAAAGTGGAAGAAAAACTATACTGGCAGGGCAATACCAGACTGCCATAGTTGCTCTTATATAAGGGATAAGAGGGAAAATAGATATCGACGTTTTCTAGTCATAATTCTGTCTTTTCAAAGCTGTTGCTTTATATGTCGAGGGGTTAAAAAATTCTGCAGAAAAGTAAAATTTTGCATGAAAGTAGTCTGCTTGGGATAAAGGAGTCAGTGGCTGCTGTGAGCAGCACAAGGTGTTTGTGATTATGCAGTAGATATTTGTTAAACTTATTATGTTCGGGGTGTTCTGTCCTTTCTTTCAGCCTGAGAAAGTGTAGGGGAATTTATAAAATACTAGAAATTAGAGTGGGATGGTCATCCAGTCTGTCTCCCTGTAGTGCAGAACTGTTTCTTCCTATAGTTTCTTTTTTCCTTTCTAGTGTATTGTCTGTTTAGTTTTCAATGTACCAAGCAATGGAGCTTGTAGTACTTCTGTTTTGAGACTTTTTCACCTGCTGTTGGAATGAAACAAGGACTATTTAAAGGGTTAAATGCTGTCACATCTACTACTAAACATTTAGAGAGATTCATAAGACTCCAAACGAACACACGTATTATAAGAGAAAGTAATACTGAGAAAATTTCCACTTTGAGTTTTCTGGAGACATAGGAAGGGCTCATAGTGGAGGAAATAGATGTGGTTTTTATATGAAGGAGCCAGTCCCAATCTCAGTTCCATCATGCAAGTCACTGTCATCTGTAAAAAATGGTGATGGTTGGTGGATACCTCTGAATTTCTCCATTTCCCAATGCCTCTGAAGGAAATTTTAAAATTTTATAGTATAGTGACAATGGTACAAATCAGAACTGACTGCAAAGCACAACGAACATAGTCTATCTACTTTACAACATAAGGAAAGTCTTCTTTGCAATCATCTTCTCTATTGTGCTTCCCCTTGCCCTAAAAGTTTCCATTAATGATGGAGTGATCCAGAACAAGAGAAAAATACATATTGATGCCCTGTGCATTCACCTATATGTTATGAAATTATTGAAAACAGTGGCAGAATTGGCATTTCTGAAAGAAGAAAGGTTTTTAAAGTAATTTTGAAATATTTCTATAAAACTATTAAGGAAACTTTGCACTTTAAGAGCACTTTTTATCTTTAAATAGCTTTACAAATGCTAATCAACATTAGGTGTTTGGAAAAATAGTTTATCTCCAGTCACTATCTTCTAGTCCAGCACAACCATATCTGCTACAGTACTGGGGGCTGGAGTCAACCCCTCTGACGGCTGTGGCTTCTGGGACTGCACTGTACTGGCCTAGTTACAATGAGCTGAGACTCGGGCCACTACCTGAGGTTTGCCGGGGCTTTGGGTATGTGGTGAGGACACTTCTGAGGCAGGGGTGAACTGCATGTGGCTGCCTGATGTCTGTGTGAGATTGGCAGGAGTCCTGCAGCATCGACTGAATGTGTAAGCGAGGGGCAGCCTTCAGCGGAAGACCACTGGAACAGAGCAGGGGACCCAGCTCCTTGTGGTGGGAACAAACATGAAGCCTCAGAAAAGGTCATGAGAAAACAAAGTTAATGGCCTCAGGAATCATAAGGAGTCAAGTCCTAAGGTAAACAAGTGTTTATGAGTAAACAAGAAAGATCTCCACCTACACAAAGCTCAGATAGAGCTGTAGCCTTTCTATCAAAATTCAGGGTGAGATGCTCTGGAATATTAGTTTGGGCCAATCTTCGTATGATATCTACTTAGATGTGTTAGTGGGACACTGCAGTGGTGACATGACCCAATTGCACATTTCAGGAATCGTATTAGTCATCCTGAATGTACCATTGCTCTCAGTGAAATTGTTCATATAATTTATTAAATTATCATACCGTCAAAATGTTGCCCTACAGATACATAATTCCTCCATGTCAACAACCACAGTACAAGTAATTAATATTTTTTATCTCCAATCTCCAGAGGGTAGAATTGTGTCAGTGAAAGATTAGCAGTGTAGTAATGTAAAAATATGTTCTCTAAATTCACATGATTGATATTGTAACACACCATACTGTGCCTGTTATTTTTTGCACATTAGCATATGATTACTAATTAAAGGAAAGTATGAGTCTTTATAAAGATCCTTTCATGAACTTTCCTCTGTCACTATCCAGACCTTTTCTTCTGTACAGTAACTATGTACAAGTAGGTTATTATAGTGGGTTTATTTTATATTACCTTGGATCAGGCATTCAGTAAACTGTGTTTGATTTTTAGCAAATGAATGTGTCCCTCTGTGGCACAAGCTTTAGTTAAAGGCAAAATTTATGAGGTAGTAACAGTTCCTGCTAGCTGCGGTGTTGTTGCTGAAGTAAAGCATTGGCTTCTACTGAAATTAAATGGGATATTTTTTGTTGGTTTTGGCTTCTGTTGAACTACAGTGTTCTGTAAACGTTTATGGACTCTGTGCTCAGTAAATGTATTAGAATACATGGTGATGGATGCAACAATGTTGGTTCAATGTAATTGTGAAATACGCTCAAACTATGCTGCTAGCACTTCACCATGTGAGATGTTACATGGCCAAACGTGGGTCCATTGTAAATACCTAGAATTACATAAAGAGGTGTTTGTTGCTTTATTGTTATGTAGGATGTTTATTCTTAAAAAAAAATCAAAACGGCAAAAAGAAAAATGTGATCCTCATCAGAGTATCAGTTAGTACTTAATTATATTTTGTTTTCAAATTACATTTTGTTCCTTTAAAAAGTGTTGTGGGACTTTTGCAGTGTATAACAATCTTGTTATCTGTATTTCTGTCCTTTTAATGAACCTTTTGCTGATCCTACAATTGATTATGATCTCGGTCATGGACTTGTGAAAAGCTCTTTTTTTGTAAAATTACATTTTTTTCATACATAATTACATACACATGCATGTATTATCAGTATAGATGCATAAATATGCATCCCTAAGCTTTTCAGAGACCCAGCACACTTTAATATTTTTGAATACTTGAGTTTTCCCACAAACTGGGGGTATCATTTTTGTCTCTTCCTTTTCATACATGCCAGCCTCCCTATATATTCTAGAGCCCCATAAATTATCAGCTAACGTTCATTTTCTGTAAATATAATTTATGTTTGTAGATAAATAATAGGAAGAGTTCCCAGTGTTTGTAGATAAATACTAGGAAGAGTTCCCAGACTTTTTAAATGGGTACAGAACTCCTAGTTACAGTTGTACGCTTTCTGTGACTACTTACCACAGAGTGAAGAACTTTGCAAAGAACGGAAAGTCAAGATAGAACATAAATGCAGGGTTTCCTTTATGGCAAAATCCTGTTGAATTGAGGAAGGATGAAATCAAAAGGGTTATAGAAAAAATACTGTAAGAACCTGTAAAATATGATAGAGCATATTTGGCCATTAATTGTATCACTCAAAGCAAATAAGCAAATCATGCTTATCGTACTCAGCTATGCATGTCAATTGGTAACTGCTATTAGCTGTTGAAAGTTATTTTTATATGTGGATTTCTGTTCCTCATCTCTGTTGTACCCGTAATGACACCTGCACTGGGATATATGGACTTGAGGAGTCTAGATCCAGAAACAGTGATGCACTTCAAGGCAAAATCCTTAATTGTTCTTCCTTATCACTCTTCAGATATTATTCCAGTTTTAGAGCCTCATGAAAAGTTCCCATCTCTAATGTAATTATTCTGATCATTCTACGATTCTATGATTTTATCTCCCACATGGGGCTTTTCTCAGAAATCTGTGATATTGCCTCCTTGTCATATTTGAGAGATGACCTGAACATGCCAAACTAACTTAACTGATAAATCCTAATGCAAATGTAGCTAAGGTTAGTCACATACCTGAAGGAATAAAAGTGTCACTGGGATATCATAAGTATGTTAAATTTAAATGAGAATTCACTACAACAATTAAAAAATCCCCTATCAGTCTGGAAGATGCTGCGTTCTTGTAGAACGCAGTTGTTATGAAACTGCATGCCCAGTTTGAAACTGGATTGAAAGCCTGTGGACTTTTTTCAGATTATGAATTTTGAATATAATTTTGTAAAATGCTTCTGTACGTGTGGTAGGAAAAAGTTTCCAAATCACCCCTTCATAGTGGGATTCCCAAAATCTTCATACTGAAGGAGAATTTTTGGATGCTTCTTTTTTAAAGTTACTCTCTAATTTTTACGGGACGTACATACTTCTGCCTTCTCTGGATTCTTTGCTCTAGAAAAACAAACACACAAACAAACAAACAAATGCAATGTTTCAACTTTCCTCTGAAATTAGTTTTCTTTGCTTTCTATAGAGATAGAAATATGAAGGAATCACTTGGGCATATTGAGAAGCAAATATAAGTTTTCTTAATTGTACGCAACAATGAAGCTGGAGTTACTATTTGCTGTGACCTGTACATCTAGGTGCTCCCCTGTTGGAAAGGATTCTGCCCAAAAACCTCCATACTGCTTATACCTTTTTGATATTACAGAAGGGGTTTTTTTATAAAAACAAAACAAAACAAAACAAAACAACACAACACCCCACATTCACTACTTTTATGAGGTATAGACCATTACAGGTCACAACTTCCCTCTCAAAGGGTCCCCTGCAGTGTTTGCCTTGGGGACTACAATGGCTCCATCAGCTCTTGAAATGCTCCCACAGCCACTGGGTAGTCAGTGGCTTCTCCATTTTGAAATGCCCTTCCAAGCATGAACTCCAAAAATGGATACTGTCTCTTTTCACTTAAATACTTAACTTTCCTTGTGCCAAATCAGAAAGAGGCCACTTATTTCTTATGTGGTCATCCCATATCTCCATTGCTGCCTTTTGTACCCACTAAGAAGTTTTATTCCACATACAATTGACAGATGATTCTTAAACTATGATTCATAAACTTCTTGTTTATGATTTTATTAATACTTACCCCATATCTATATCTAGTTTAAAAAAAAAATACAGCATTGTGTTGTAAAACTAATCTATGACTATTAGTGTTTTCAGAAAGTAATGGTGTTGCAATTGTTTTTTTCATCTTGGTAAAT